TTCTTTCCTTCTTGCCTGAAGGATAAGAAAACCTGATAAGACGTCAGATGGAAGATCCTCTAAACAGGTACGTAGCCAGGAATTCGGAGGCAGCTGATTTTTTTGCTGCTTCCACCAGTAGGCTCCTCCCAGGAAGTCCGAGCACAAACTTTCTAAAGGAGAAATTCAGTTCTAAATTGCATGGGACATTTGCACAGATGGAAGAGATTTCCCACTTTAGATGGTTAGACTCTATTTGTTAAAACAATGAGATTATATCGGTAAAGGAATAAGTAGAATTGTGCCTCTATCTCCAATTTCATTTTTAGAATGGTGCACAGGAATCTGGCACCTGCAAAACCACATAGACACAGACATACAATCATCTATTACACTATTACATTCCAATGTCAGCATGAAAGGGGGAACTAATAAACGACCTGCGTAGATGAATATGGAGAATATGTTTCAAAGGATTTGATACAGAAACCAGAGACAGGGAGTAAGATAGGAGAAGTTTTATTGTTACAAAAGTGAAAGGCATAAAGGGATTTCAAATCCCAGAAAAATACGGTCAAAGAGGTCAAACGAGTTTGGTTCTGTTGTCTAGAGGGAATTAATCTGGGGAAGTTTGTGCCCTACACAAAGGTGTTAGATTTTCAACTCTATTTCCCAAGCAGCATGGGGAACGGAATGATGAGAGCTGAAGTCCAACATCTTTGCAGAGGGCTTCAAGTTAGGAAAGGCTGGAATAAGCCTTCCTATAAACCCCTGCTCTGATTTATGTCTTGTCCGTCCTAGAAATTATGTGCAATAGGTGAAGCAAGAAAAGAATTCTGATCAGAAACTGTTACCTAATACTACAAAACACTAGTGTCAATAAATTGGGGGAGGGGAGAAGCGGAAGAGAAGAAAAAGGTAGAGAAAAATCTAAACCACTTCTAAAACTCAAGTTCAGTTACAGTATAAACACTAAATTAACGATACTCAGAGGAGTACACATACCCCTTTCTCATCTCTATAGAGTTTTTTAAAAAGTTTTCGATTCAGACTCTGCACAATCTTTCCCTGCTGGCTATAGCAGTTTGAACTTCAGCAGGATAGGCCTATATAACTGATGTGATCCAGCCCAAACCATCCTCTCGTGATAGTTTAGGACACCACAGACCCAAACACTTATGTAGCAGAGCCATGAATCGTACTGTGCTTAATACAGAAGGAAACACAGGTCACGCAAACACACACATACAAATTTTGCATCTAGATTTTGCAGAATAGAAAGGAGGCAAGTTGACTTATTGTACATAAGTTTATAAAGTTGCATAATTCTCATTTTGTAAAGATGGCGAGTGCTAGATCTCCACTTGAGTCGCTGGAAATCTAGGTTCATCTTACTTTTGAGATTTCAGCAGAAACTGCATAGACACTTGCAAGCGTACCTTCCAAATAATAATGTTTAGAATTCGCTTGGGGAAAAAAAAGCAAAATAAAAAGCATACAGTCCCAGAAAGTTCTAGATCCCTTATCCCTTATTTTGTCTACATTTCTATAGAATCATGCAAGCCACACACGTACGGACACACAAACACACGCATACACAGTCCTGAATACTGGCTCACAGTGCATTGCGTTGTTTTTGAAAAGTTGCTAATGTTGACCAACTGCATCACGTTCGGCGCAAGCAGAGTGTGCTTTGGAAACACTGATTCTAGACAACAGAACTGGATTGGGATCGGTGCCATTGATTAGTACAAGGTACCAACCTAGATAACTGTATAAATCGCCAGAGAAAGCTTGGGACATCCCTCTCCCAGGTCTGAAATGCAGGAGCCAAAAGAACTTCCTCTAATTGCACTCACAGCAGATGAATTGATTTGTATGGCTTTAAGCTTCAAACCCCAGGGGTAGCAGGAGCACCTCCACTCCGGCCTTGAGGGCTTGGCATAGCTTTTTCCTTGTGCACGGTGGCATCTCCCTATTTTTGCTGGGACAAAGAAAGTGATGCAGCAATAGAAAAATTAGATAGCCCTGGAGGGTTGAGAGGCACAGGTGGTGGCAACGGCTGTATTTTCAGATATTTGACAGGGGTCTCTTGGGTTCGCCTTGAGTTTTGCCACGAGGCGCAGAGGGTCCTCAAAAGATCTTTTGTGCCCTGGACATACTGGATGTTCCCAAGAAGTGGAGGGGATGGGGAGAGGGAAAAGGAAGAAGAAAAGAGAGGATTAGTAAACGAAAGCAGCTGTGAAAGAAGGATCATCACAGGCCTAGCATTGGCAGGCAAGCTAGAGAAAAGGAAGGTACGGGAAAAGGAAAGTTAGTACAATACAGATAAATCTGGAATATGTCTTTTTAAAAAGGGAGCTTTTGCTCCAAAAACACTTGGATGGAGAAAACTCTCAGGAGGGGGAAATATTAGATGCATCCAACAAAGAAAAGGGAGGATGAAGAAAACAAACTAAAAGGTTCCTGAAGAATGTTACATGAACATATAAGAGAACAAGACACAAAAATACCTTCCCCTGTGATGAAAAACTAAAATTCGGATATATGCCGAATACGACACATACTCCCAAACCTTTTCATGACCACCCATATGGCATCCATTGTAACAAGAAATTCTATTACTACATTAGAAATAAGAAATCATGCCCAGAGGTTGATGGGGGCTCTTAAATAACATATGATGTGGATGATCTAATGGGTTTGGATACGCATATAGTCAACTTTCATTCAACATGCAAGAACATATGAATGACAGCCCCCTTTAGACTATTCCAATCACACAAATGACATATTTAAACATGCTGGACTGGCTGTACATTGAGGTCACATGAAAACATGTAGCACCAAGTTCTGTATGTTTGGAATGAAGCCTCTGCTGTGCTTTTGGGTTGTTGTTTTTTCCAGCTGGGAATGTAAACAGATGGCTAAAGGTCAAGAATTATTCCTTTGCTTTGCCCTATGCAAATCTCTTTATGACACCAAAGAGAAATAGTTAGCTTTCCTGTCCAGCAGATTGCTTGTTCTCCCAGTTGCTTCTCCTTTAGATGTCCTCACTTAAATATCATTAAGCAACAATGGCTTTTTCTATGCAAGAGTGGAAGAGATGTAAGGCAAGGAAAGAAGATTAATGAGCAAAGTAACTAAAAATATTCTCCGGCTTTGTTCTTTCTTAAGGGGGAAAGGAGAGGAGGCAGATCTGGTGACATGTACTTCCTCACCAAAGATAACTTACAAGAATTCATCTCTTGGAGACAGTAACAGCACAGCCACAGTCAAATATATATATGGCTCGCCAATGACAAAACAAATGTCTCTTGCGCTAAAATTTAACCTTTTCACCCTAGCTCAAGCCTTCCTAATGTTGAGTGCAGCTTTTCACAATGTCCACCTCTTCATCCTGATGGGTAGTTATTTATATAGTGTTTTATCTGCCTTGCTCCACAGGTTCCTTGTCTACCCCTCAAGTCCTTCTTGGCACTTTATAGACCTTCGAACCCTGCTTGAAGCTTAAGCTATGGATGGATGATTGACCCGTAATGATGGTGAACAATTGAGACATGGACACCAGAGACTTGAAACACTCCATGTGGTGAGAATGAGATGAATCACTGGATGATGGCGAGGAAGAAAAAATTCTTACCAGCTAACCTTCAGAGAGCAGTACTAACCCATCCTGTGGGGAGGGACTATCCCATCAGGCAGTGCAAGATATCGCAAAGTCCTGGCAGGCATCCTCCTGAAGAAGACACCAGAGATTATGTATTGTGGCAGGCTTGGGTTTGGGGAAACAGGCTGAGGGGTGATAGGGAAGTGAGAGAAGACAGACATAGCACACAGCTGCTGTGTGAGAGCAGTTAAATGCATTCTTTCTGACTAACTTTAGTTACAGCAACTCTGAAGCAATACACTAAAACAGAACTTCCATTAAACAGATTCCTCTTTCTCCAATCTCCACCTTTTATTATAATGAATATGTTCAGCATCTGTTTCTATGCCTGCTGAATTCCAGAATCAGCAGCCCTGAAATTGCCCAAATTCAGCCTCTTGGTCTAGAAGACATTCAAACACTAATTGTCTTAATTTAGCAAATAAGGAAAATGGAAACATAAAACTGAAAACAATTAGCTCTTAAAAAAACATTTTTATTACAAAAGATGCAATAATCGTAAAAGTGTTTCCCACACAAATGGAACACTGCCTACAATTTCTTTCCCCGCCAAGTTATACAGTAATGCCTTAGAGAGCAACACAAACTTTTCTTCAATAAGAACAACTCTTCTCTTTCCTAACAATAAAAACTCTTCTAGGATTATCTTTCCACCCTCCCTTTCTGATTAAATTTTTGAAAGAAATAAGTTATGAGCAGCCTTTTGAGATCAAAACCACGTTATTCTGAGCACCTACTGTAGCTCCAAGATCCATTTGGGTTCCATTAGCCAACTTCTCTCACATGTAAGTGGCTGCTCTGGGAACAAGAGCAGTTCAGCTGTTCAGAGACATGCAAGGTGATAGAAACCAGGACTGCAGAGACAGATATTTTCTCCACTGAGTCCAGGGATCTTACAGGGCAGAACCAATGATGTAGCAGACTCAACCTTTAGGTTTAAGCCTACTATTATTAAAATACCCCAGCCTTGGCACTTATCTAAATGGCGCAGAATAAATATACTCTCCCGTACATCAGCCAGCATATCCTTTCAAAAGCCTTTGTAACTGCCCCAGAATGAGAACTATGCTCTACAGAGGTCAGAAAGTGGAGTCCTCAGATCAGCAATACTTCTGGAGATTGTGAGAGTTATACAGAGGCTCCCCTAGGTGTGGCGTGCATCAGAATATAAATACAATTATATCACATATCACAGCAGCCAGATTTAGCTGTTGGAAGCTGCTGTGGAAACTTCTGCACCTCATCAGAACTTCTAAATAGCTTTTGCCTAATGCCTCAGCTGATTTTAAAATCAGACTCAAACTTCAGAAAGGGTGATATGTACTACCCATTCTTGCAACTTTAATTTGTTGGAAAAACTAACCAAAATATAAAACAGGAAAAGAAATGCCTTAGCAGTTATTGGCTTTGTTCTTCTTCATGAAGTGCTCCAATTTAGGACAGACATGTTGAAGACACAGCATTATTCCTTCTAGTAATGTCAAATATTTTAGGAAGGGTGCAAAAATAAACTTACAGATGAGCAGATCAGTTGTCATGATTCAGCTTGCTTTTCAATTCAGTCTTCCTATCTACATCAGCCAGATGCCCAGAGCAGTGGTTTCCATTGCTGAATGTGATGGAGTTACTCAAAACACAGCCCACAACAGTGAATGGAATATATTGGCAGAAAGGTGGGCATGGTGGGAAACTCCTGACCACAGTGATTGCATTTTTTTTCTTTACACAAAGAGGGTGCTTCTCGGTTCTTCTGCAGAAGCAGGATGCATAAAACACTTATGTGCTTATTTTAGTTTTCTTGGAAATATAAAATCCTATTCAATTTCTCGTAAACCCCAGATTTCAAAGGTCAACAGGGAGAATATTATTGTTGCATAGCTGATTAACCCATCCAGGTAGTTTCTAGATGTTTTTGAACACAGTACAAGAAATGAAATCTAACACATTGGATGAGCAAGTTCTACAAGTTCCCCATTTCCTCCTACTGGCTGGTAAAAGCCAAGAAATAAGATATAACACTTAAAAAAAAATCTTCTGGGCACAGGTTTACAGACAGTAAAAATGATCTTTTTAGAAGACAAAATAACATTGCTAGAATATAAACTATAAAATTTGTGCAAAAATTCCCAGCAGCTTTAATAAACACATTTCAAGTATCTAGTTTCCCTCTATAGGCAAGGGCTCCCTCTTGCCATGGGATGGAAACTGTGGAACTGTAAAAAAAATTCAGCACGAGGAAGCAGGATCCCTCCTTCTTTAAAGAAATGATCAGAGATCCAAGTGAATGGACTTCTTATAATAACTCTGTTTTGGAAAATGCTTTTGTATACATGAAGATTTTGCTGAAATGGCCTTTAGTCCACATGCCTTACTTATAAAACTCTCCAAACCCAATACAAAAGTGGCTCAGCTGTCCAGATGCACCAGGTAAATACAACTCATCTGGAATGACATAATTTAAGAATTTCCAACTGCTCTCTTTAATTTTCATTCCGACTATTCAATAAATAACCTCTAGAAGCTTAGTGTTCTGATCCTGATTCAGATGAAATAGACAAGGACAATCCTGAGTCAATTCCCAGACTGAGAAACAATGTTCTGCTTCTGTAGACTTTCTTTATGAAAGGGAACTTCTACCATCTCCCCAAAACAGCCACTCAGGCTAACTTCAGGCAATACTTGCTGGTGAGGCAAGGTAGAGCTGGGTCTTCAAATGATTCATGTTACAGTTTAAGGAACATCAGTTATTCTTTGCAATATTCGGGCAAAATGGCAGGAACAACAGTGTAACATTAATATTGTCGGAACAAATAAAGTATGCGGAATACTTTAGGAGATGCTTCTGTTATAACAGCTCCATATGCAAAGTAACTATGCCTTTTTCTACCAATCTTTTCAACAAAACCTCCGATAAAAGATATTTCTCATGAAGCTGGAATCTCCCAACCAGCTGCATTCTCTGCTCTAAGTATTTTAACCCTCAACATTATGGCAGCTCCTACCTAGAGGCTTAACTGCAGCAATGAACAATGGCCGGTTAAGTATTTAAAACATTTTAAAAATATTTTTTTTTAAATGAAACCAATTAAAAATCAATGCAAGAGAAGGTGGCCTCTGGTTGGAATAGGAATTCTGGAGATTCTGCTCCATCAGGCTGTCTACCTGAGCCCAGATAATGGTAAAAGGTAGGAGAGGCACCAGCTGGAGGTAGGCATAAGTTATGTATGTCAGTGTTGCTAAAGTGTTGGCTCATACCATGCTGGCATCAGATTTTGTTCCAAAGGAAGGGATTTCAGCCTTAGGAGTAGAGGGAGTCCCAGCATCTGCCTGAACAAATCCTCTTCTATCTATTAAACTAGACAATTCAAACATGGGAAGAAAAAGGGGAGAAAAGGTTAGATTACTGATTAATTAACCAATTTTGTTGTATGTAAGTACAATGACAATAAAGATTATACTTAATTATGTAAATAAGAAATAATGCTAAAACAATTAAGCAACATTTCTCTCGTTTATCCCATCAATTCATTATTAGGGATTGGATGAGAATTCCAACTAGGCTTTCAATCACAAACAAGAAATTTGATATAATTTACTAAGGAATTACATAGAAGTACAAAGGGAAGTGGTCCACATACGGAGAGATTTAGTTGTTGATCTGAACTTTTAAAAGTAAAATCTTGGAATTTACTTTTGGTAGTTGGAAAAACTATCAAATAAATTCAACTTATCAAATGCCCATGGCATTTTTCAGAAAAAAAGCTATAAACTGTGAGTTCGGTAGCTATATAAATGAATAGCCAACATTTGAAAAATAATAATAAAATACCTTCAATCCCTCATTTAAGAGACAAAAAAATGAATATGGTTCAACTCTGCCCTACTTGATTTATACAATACAGAATTCTATTGAAATTACTTTAAAATTGCTAAATACTAAACATATTTTTCAAGGTCAGGATTCCATCATAATATTATAACTTATTCTCCATTACAATTCTAGAAATAAATGATGTATTAAGGTCAACCAGGAAAAAAAACCAGACAGAAATGTTAAGACTTCATTCAAACTATCCTTCCAAAATACAGAATGGGTAATTTGTACTGTACATATTCTCCATATAATTTTTATTATTATCATCTCAAAATAAGTTTTGAAATAATCCTTTATTTTGCCTAATTCTGCTCCTTGCCACTAAACAGGGATTTATGATGGGATTACCTAGAATGTTTAATGTTGCCTCTGATCTACAAAAAATTGTATGCTAAGTGAAAATTCCTCACTGCAATTGTCAAACATCATCATTTTTGCCTAAAAAGCTATAGCAGAAGAAGATGGAAATAGGATATTCCATCACCTCTATTTAAAGATTAGTTCCAAACAGCTGATCTTTCTGAATGTCTGTCTTCATTCCAGCAGCTCATTATAAGTACAGGTAGTCCTTGCCTTACAATCATTTGTTTAGGGATTGAAGTTATGACATTGAAAAAAAGTGATTTATGACCATTTTTCACTGTCATGATAGTTGCAGCATCCCCCTGGTCACATGATCAAAATTCGGCCGCTTAGCAACTGGCATGTGTTTATGAAGGTTGCTGTGTCCTGGGGTCAGGTAAACACATCTATTGTGACTTCTCACAAGCATGATCAATGGGGAAGCTGGATTCACCTAACAACTGTGCTGCTCTCTTAACAACTGCAGTGATTCACTTAACTGTCTTGTTTAGCAACAGGAATTTTGGGCTCAATTATGGTTGTAAGTAGAGGACTACCTGTGCTATTTTGTAAGTGTTGAAAATATTTTGTTTCAGAGGTAGATCATACTGGAATGTTCTGGATCACTTTGCCATTCTGGGAATTATAAATTTTGGGAAATGGGTCAAACAACCACAGGAACAGCCAGATCAAAGTGGTCTGGAGAAAAACAGAATAGTCTATCTCCCAAACATTTTTCACACCTGGTTTTATTGTAAGATCTGATGCTTCTGTTGTGTCTCTTCATCACTTTTCTTTCTTACATTCTAAACTGTAACTTCACAGGCAGAATTGACTTGTTTTTATTAAGTCTATATAAGCCATTTGCCAGAATGAGGTTTTCCGATGAAGACTGACATCATTAAATTGTATGGTAACAAATTTCAATGATTAGGACAACCATTAAACTGGCAAAAGTAGTTGCCTCAAGAGGAGGCATAAAATCATTGCAAACTTAGAACTTTTGTTTCTGGCAGAAAACCACTTTCACACAGCAATATATATGTTTTAAAACTTAATATTTAGCCCTTCGTTAGCATTCTTCTTTTCCCCCTTTTCATTTCTTTCTGTTTTGGTTTTATGTCCATAATTTACATAAAGGTATACATTGCATTAATGCTTTAAACAAAGGGAACTATCATGGTATCAATCAAGACACCAAATTCCCCCACTTAACTCTCATTTTTACAATAAGTATATATTTCTCATTATGTGAATGATGGCTCATTCTCATGATCATAAAGTACTGACTGCTGTTCTCTTTTTTCCTACCTGCATGAATGGCTGCACAGAACAGGAACAAGAGGCAGCCGCAGGATCATGTTTCCTTACCTGGGGTAAAATGGCCCACAGAGCACTGCACAGCAGTTGGTTAGGACACTTTTATGGCTATAGGGGTTGGCAAATTCAGAACCTCTCTTATTTGACCATGCTCCCTTGAGCTACAATCCAAAAGAGATTAATTGGTTAGGAAACGTCCAGATTTTTTTTTTCTGTTTTGTCTTTACTTAGAAGAGCCACAGTTAACTATACGAGAGATAAAACTAGTCTCCATGATATATTTGCACATGCATGCGTAGGAATTAAGCAGTGGTGGGATTCAAATTTTTTTTACTAGCAGTTCTGTGGGTGTGACCTGGTGGGCTTGGTGTGCATGGCTTGATGGCCATGGCAGGAGAATAATACTGTAAATTCTCCTTTCCCACCCCACTCCAGGGGAAGGATACTGAAAAATCTCCATTTCCTCCTGAGTCAGCTGGGACTCGGGAGGCAGAGAATAGATGGGGGCAGGGCCAGTCAGAGGTGGTATTTACCGGTTCTCTGAACTACTCAAAATTTCCGCTACTAGTTCAGCAGAACTGGTCAGAACCTGCTGAATACCACCTCTGGAATTCAGGTTACAGAACTGATGCCATAAGTGTCTGCTATAAGGTCACCTCCCACCAAAAAAAAAACCAAAAAAAAAACCCATGCAAACTTATATTTATATCCTGGTATCAGATACAGGTACATAAATGACTGGGTTGTGGTATCACATGTCCCTTCCCATCACCGATATCTTGAAACATTTATTAATTTAAGTAAAGGCTAGCTGTTCCAAATCATTGGTTATGCCATCTAGACATTATGAGAGGCTATGAGTTGGCTGATCTAAAAATTAGAACATTTAATAAAATCTTTTCACTAGAAATAAAGGCCTTTTTTCCTTATTTTGGAATGAAGAAATGTCTATCTTTTCACCAACAACAAATGTTATAGTCACTCTGCTTTAGAACAAAACAAAGCAAAATATTTTAAGCATAATCTTGTGCCTTTCAAGAAACCGATTTAAAGCTGTCGTGATGGCTGTTTGGAATGTTAAACTTCTATTCATTGAAAATAATATCTTTACTCACATCCTCATTGGTTGTCAAATTGGAGGCAATTAAGTAAGTGTGAAACCCTGAGAGGCCAAAAATAGACCAGACTGAAAAAAAGCAAATCACCAATTCCAACAGAGTAAATTAGGAATTAAGGAATAATACTTGTGACCGAGGAGCATTCATTTTGCTGAAGTTCTGCCAAAGTTTTACTCTACCAAATGCATCAGAGCCAGCAGCATAATTTTTTAGGGAAAGATGATATACAAATAAACCAAAGAAGTAATTAATGATACAATAAATTCATCAGGGGAAAATGTATTCCGTACTTCAGGACGAAGAGTCCCCAGCTGTTTTAATACTTTGCTATTTAATCCTATTTAAAAGATTTTCAAAACGGATTTACAGACAAAGCTAAACCATGAGCAATAAAGCAAATGATAGCCACAGAGTGAAACAGTGCAACAACAGCACAGCTACACAGTCAAGTCAAAACACAGATTGAAAAAACCTTGGGGAAATCAAAAAGTCCCCATCTGGCTTTGAGATATTAAATTTGAGACAGGCCTGCCTCAGCTAATCATCACCAAAGGATGACCTCTAACAGAGGGCACTGGAGTTTTATTTTTACGGTTTTTGAGTCACCAAGTTGCATGGACCAAATGATTTTAGAATAGATCGAAACACCTGCCAAAAGGGAAGGGGAACAAAAGGTCTGGGAGAAAGTCTTCTTCATTGCCTAGGTCAGCCAACTTCCATTTTACATTCTCTACATGTGTTAGGACTGTCACTGCCACGAACTACTCAGATTCCCATTTATGATCAATTCTTGTTGAATACATTAAAAAAACACTATCAAGCGTTTTTAAGTGGGAGATGGAAAAAACAGATATTGAAAGGATATCTTGCTGGTGTTGTTTTCAAAACGGTGAGGAAATCGTTTCCCTGGGAGCCTGCAAAGCAAAGACATTGAGATAAAGGAAGGAATTTTTAAAAAAATTTTAAAAAAATCTTGCCTTTATTATTGTTATAAATAACTCAAGGCGGTGAACCATATCTGATACTCCTTCCTTTTCCTATTTTCCTTTTCTAATCACAAAAACATACAGAAGATTAAACTGATGCTGATCCCCAGGATCTCAGATAGAAAAGAGGTTTTGAGCCATACAAGTAACTCCCTCTTGAAATGTGATTTTGTGAACTAAAGATGTTGTAATCCAACATGCTTAGGATTGGGAAAGGGTCAATATATAGGGTTGGTGTGTGTGTGTGTGTGTGTGCGCACACGCGCGCACGTAGGTAAATATAAATATAAATATAAACACATCTTTGTTTGGCTACTTTATGGCCCACATTCAGTTTACAATTTATTTATTGTAGCTATTATTACTTTCCACATATTTCATAAATGCCCTCATTAAAAATACTATGACAGTTTTTCAGGAGATTCTTGGGTTTGTTATCTGAGGGTTAAAGGTAAAGGTTCCCCTCCCACATATGTGTTAATTGTTCTCGACTCTAGGGGGCGGTGCTGATCTCTGATTCAAAGCCGAAGAGCCAGCGCTTTCTTAAGACGTCTCCAGGGTCATGTGGCCAGCATGATTAAATGCCAAAGGCACACGAAACGCTGTTACCTTCCCACCAAAGGTGGTTCCTATTTTTCTATTTGCATTTTTACATGCTTTCGAACTGCTAGGTTGGCAGAAGCTGGGACAAGTAATGAAAGCTCATTCCATTATGTGGTACTAGGTATTCAAAATGCCAAATTGTTGAGCTTTCTGATCGACAAGCTCAGTGTCTTAGCCACTGAGACACCACGTCCCAATTTGAGGGTTAATCTGAGGGTTAGGAAGGGCCAATGTAGATTTGGAATGAGAGTTCACACACATCTATTCTAAATAATTCTTTCTTCAGTTGTGACTTAAGACACAGTGAACTTCCTCACACTTTCCTACAGCGCTGTAAAATTCAACTTTGACAACAGGCCATACTTACGCAAAGCAAGGTGGGTGATGACACAAGCAAAGATGAAGGCTGTTAGGAAGGAGAGGGAGAGGATGAAGGCATAGAAGAATCGATAGTTCCGCTTCCCCACACAGTTGCCCACCCAGGGACAATGATGATCAAATCGTTCTGAGGGGAAAAGGAACAAAAACACAGTATTAAAGGGAATGACATTTCACATACTCAAGGATATATACTTGTACATAATTTGTCAACCTGGGAACAGATTGTTCCAAGAATCAGAACTCTTTGGCTGTTTTATTTCCATCTTTATTCACTCCAGAACATGGCACTGCAGGCTCAGTTTGTTAATCTCTGAAAGCAACTTTCCTGGATCAGTCATAGTCATAGATCAGAGATGTGCCAAGGATGGTTTGGCTCACTTTTATTTGGTCCAGTTTTATTTAGAAAATTACATTCAGAACGGCTACAATCACTTCTGCTCCAGAAAATTTATTTTAAACACTATACAACTGTCAATGCAACAGTGTGGTCCAAAAAAGGTATACTGTGATCTGGAAGGAAATGAAAAATTTTGGAATTCCCAAAGTGATATTTTCCCAGAATGACACTCTTTGTACGCATCCCTCATGTATCTTACAAGTGATGCAGAAAACAATTTTAGAGGATGAGTGTAATCTATGGTTAATGCTGGATTCCAAAAGACCCCATTCAAGTCTATAGTCGGTCAGTCATGAAACTCACTGGGGGGCTTTGGGTCAGTTACTATCTCTTGCTGTCTTACTTAGTTCATAAAGTTGTTATTAAAATAAAATTGGAGGGGGACTATTGTATATGTTTTTTTTAATTCCTAGAAAAAATGGAATGTAAACACTGCAAACAAACAACACATTAGGACGAGGCTCTCTTTTGCTAATGTGTATGTAAAGAGAGTTCTAAAATATTAAATGAGTCCATTTGGTGTGATTAAGACATCATGCTAGAAACTGGGAAACTGTAAGTTTTAGGCCCACCTTAGGCACAAAATCAGCTATGTGACTTTGGGCCAAAATGTAGGCAATGGTAAACCTTGCCAAAAAACCTGGACCCACCGGAAGTCTTTTACGGCTTTTAAATTTTCTTTTCTCTGAAAGCGATCAACGCTAGCTTTCTCTGCTGAAATATCAACAGCTTGTATTCAAGAATACTGAATTGAGATTTGACTACTAGCTTTAGGGAATTAGTTACCATTGTATTAGAATGAGAGAGATATAACTGAATGAAAAGGGAATGAAAAGTTCATTCATAGAAGTCCTTCAACCAGAGTTAACGTGTTTGTTCAGAAATCAGGATGCCAGATTTACTTGTAATGCACATAATACCAGCTTCTCCCCAGTACTGAACTGCCAGAAATAGACTGTAGAGGACACTGGGGACAGACAAGATAATAGGCGGGAGGATCAGTTCTAATATGCGTTTCTCCAGAAACCCAACTCGCAGATATGTTCATCAGATTTATTGAAGTAGCAAACAAGTAGGAAACTAATTATTTGCAGCTTACAAAGCTATACATTGGCAAACCTTTGGGGCTTAGGAGTAAAAAAGAAGGACTAAGCATTTTAGTAAATGCAGTGAAACATTTTTTTTCACTAAGTAGTGAAATGACAGTGTCAAAATGAGTTGGCAACTAAAGGTAAATAAACTAGGAACAGAAAAGCATTGTGGTTCTTTGGGCCACAGTGAAATTTCTCCCAGAGAATCACTCTGGAAAAAATGCAGAACAATTTCTAACACATCCAAATCAATTCAATGCTGGGATATAGCAAAGAAAGCTCATTTATGAATATCAAGAAAAGAATATATATTTATACCTCTGTTATTATTCTACTTTTAAAAATAGATTATCTTAGCTCCCTGATAGCTCCCCTTTCCCTTGATACTCCTGTCTGCATATTTGGAAAAATCATAATGCTGTGATAAAACCATTAGAACTTTCAATCTGTTTGACAACTGCTAGCATTTTGATGGAAATATTAATTGATTTGTTACATTAATTCATTTATTTATTTATTGCCTTACAATATAATTAATGTTTAAAAAAACCATAGAAAACAATTAAAATTAGAAAAATGGAACAGAAAAATTAAAAAGCAAGATGATAGGTGGCCTGGAGCTGATCTTCTCTACTTGATCAGCCACCCTCAATGCTACAGGTCCCTATCAGGGGCCCAGGCCAAGTAACAGAGACAAATTTCTAGTGTCTTCCAGAAGGCTAGGAGTGTGGGGGTAGACCACACCCCCAGTGGGAGAATATTCCAGAGGGTGGGAGCCACAGCAGAAAGGGCTTATCGCCTGGACCTGCCAGCTGAAATTCTTTGGTTAAAGAGATCTAAAATAGGTCCTTTCTTCTGGAATGAGTAGGATGGGCTAGTCCCATCAGGGTGAGACAGTTCCTCTGATATCATGGACCCATATGAAGGATGAAAGCATATGAAGGATCAAAGCAATTAACTTGCATTTGCATTGCAAATGTAGCTGAGGCATTTGGGAAAAAATCCTAATATGCAGAGCCAGTATGAACTCATAGATAATTATTCAAAGTCCATTTCCTTCCCACAATTTCACCTTTTAACAGGTAAATTATTAGGAACTTGATCTCAAATCAGTCAACATTTGGGTATTAACAACTCTGTTAAAATGTGTATTCCTCAATATATAGCATTATTATAGCCAGGCAAATTAAGTTTCAAACATTAGCGATTAGCTATCTTACTTATTCAAGAAATGCCAATGCCATCCAAACTCTAATTTTACCCGCTCTATTTACAGCTTATCGTGTGCTCCCTTGGATTCTATCTCTTCCTTTTCACAATCTGCTTAAGGTACATTGGAGAAAGACATTATATATGTGAACACTTCACCATTTCTCATCGCAAAACCCTTTTGTTGGCTTTGTCAGATATGCCTGTCCTCTCTTGCTATGCAATCTAACACAGGTATAGTCACATAGCTCTTGACTCAATAACTGCGTTCGCTCCTTTGTTTGAAACCATGACTATACATGAAATCAGCTGATAAAGCAGATTTGTATTCAGATTGGATTCGTTAAAGAAAACTCATCGCCTTCAAAAAGAGGGGGAAATGTCAATTCAAGAATGCAATGACCTACTTCAAAAGTAGACTGCCTCACCCATACCTTCCCCTTGCCCTAAAGAGTGATACATCCTGGCAAGGTTTAGTTTTTTGGGGTGTGACCATGCTTTGGTTCATGTCTTGATATGCCTGTAACTATTCTTCCCAACTAACGTGCTACAGGAATATTTCATTATTACAAATGCCTCAAAAATGAAAGAAATGAAGAGCCAAGAAGTGGAAATGGCTTGCTACTTCTTTGCTCTTTAGGTTTTCAGTAATTCTCGTCATTCTTAATATCTGCCTGTCACTTATCCTTGCTTGCAGCCAGTGTATTTAAAAAGTCAGTTATTAATGCCATACATTCATCCATTCACCTTTTCTTCCCAGCGGATGCTCTTTAATTAATATAACATATTCATATTGTGACCATATAGAAAGGCCAGCTATATCTTACACCAGGTACTTTAACTGTTATAGCACTTCAATAGAGAGATATATGGTAGGCTTTCCAACCTGAAGTAGCTACTCTTTTCAGAGGGATGTTTATTGGGGTGACAATTTGCTTGACAAGAGACAAGTAGAAAGAATGATGATTGGGAAAGAAAAAAAAGAATTAACAAGGTCTGAAATCTTGCTGATTTTGAAGCAAAATCATATCCAATGTCCTTTATTCTTCGTGGCTCAGACTTTTCTAAATATTGTCTTGCAGCTCCAAGAAGGCAAGATTCAAACTTTACACACAAGGATCCAGGCATATTTTTGAACAGCAGGCATCACAAAAAAACTTGATCATTCTCTTTTTGAATCATTTTATGTGAGTTTAGGAAGCGTCTATATGAATGGAAATCTTTCTACCTTAGGAAATACTCCTAAACACAAGCAGAATGAGAAATCTCTCCCTATTATATTCAGAATTATCCTCTGAGGAACAATCAAATTTAAACAAAGAACATACAGCACAAAATGTGAACTCAAATGTTTCTGCATTCAACAAAAGCAGAAAAATAACTTTAATGGAAATGATAATCCTGATTGTTCACAGGATAAAAGTCTCACTCTGATCTTACCAACACAGTTGTCACAGACACTGCAATGGGAAGTCCTGGGTGGACGGAACATTTTACACGTGTAGCAATATTTCAATTTCACCATATACTTGTTTATTACAACTTCCATGGTTCGGGCAGGTGGCCGATAAGTGGAAGTGCCGAGGTTGTCTGTGAAATCAAAAATATTCACCTCTTAGACTCATCCAAAATTTGACTAATACCAGACTAAAGCAAGGACTGATTGCATATTGATAACCTTCTACCAAGTCTCCACCTAAACTAAGATACAAACAACCCATCCACATCATTCATTGCTGTCTTTCTGAAATAATAGCATGTTATCTGAACTGTAGCAGGCCACAAATGAAAAATAGAATTCACTCCTGAAGCAATTCTTTCAGTGACTAATATATAAAAATATGTTAATATTCATATCTAAGCACTGTTATGATTTTTGAGATGCACTGTAGTGGGATGTTTCAAACAATCCACATTCAGTATCATTCACTTAAATTTGGTGTAAATTAATTTTAAAAGGCCCAGGAAAAAGGACAATCCAAACAGACCTTTCTTCATTGTTTCTGTCAATATCTCTGCAACTACTACTTTAAAACTATGAAAAAGTTGACTGATCATATGTCATTTTGTGAATATGATAGCTCTAGGTTCTACATACTATGGTGATATAAGCCTGCTGTAAAGTTCAAGCAAAAGAAAGAACCAGGATATACAAAAGTTTCAGAAGTAAAATGTGTAACTATTAGATTATGGATTCCTATCAACTAGTTAAAGGCTAATTATTGGAATTAGTCAAAGACTAAAGGATAAAGTGGCCCTGACCTGACTCTACATGTATACTTTCGATAGATAATTTCAAGAATGAAAATGCCAAAATGACAATTCTGTATAAATACCATTAATAGGATCCCTTATATATTTTTCCATAAAGAAATGTAATAAGCCTCACCAATCCATTTCTCCAGATCTGCAGCTTCACTGGGGGTGGCTCTGGGCAAAATACCGGGATCTCTGAAGCTGGTTTGTAGCAAACAGCTGATGACAAAAAAGAACAGGATGCCAGCAATGATAGGAATAGCTATGGTCAAGTTATGAGCCAGGAATGGACAGCTGAAAAGAAAAGAAAACATTATTGCATTATTGAATACTGAATTTCCATTCATCACACAAATTTTCCACTCATTGCTTGGCTTCTTTTCCTAGCCAAGCTGCCTCCTTCAACTAACAAATATTATATGATAACCTGCCTAGCTGTCTAAAGCTCTTAGGAAAAAGATACAAGATACCTATCTCACAGACAGGAATTATAGCATATTCCTGGAATGAAACAGATAAAACTATATCTGACTGTATTAATAAGATATCTTTCTTTGAATTGGCTATGTAAAAACAATTTTGTGCATAAATCTGAGAAACGCTACTACTGCTAGCCCATCCACTGAGTCAAGGAATTCAGGCAATACAAGCTTACAATAGCCTAGTTTCAACTGAAATGTAGAGCCCAATTTAACAAGTATGGGTCTCACGCCTAGTGTTCTGTGGGGCAGTGCCTCTAAAACTTTCCCAAGTATGTCAAATGACAACTGCCAATTTTCCCTACCCAAGATCATTGACTCCACACCTGAAACCTTCTTGCAATGCAAGATGCCTTCACTATACAAAATTCTAAAACTGTAAAATGTAGTTTTAAAGCAGCAAATATCTGTCTCCAAATGTTTTCCCTAGAGGGAAAGAAAAATATTTGTTTGAAGTGAAACATTAGGTATTTTGGTGACATGCTCTAGGGAGGCCAAACAATACTAGAAGATGTCAGCTTTAAATTTTAGACTATAAACATTTATTTATGCATTTATTTATTTTAAGATTTTCTTATGTGATTGTAATGTTCCTTATCTGTTGTATATTCTCAAAGTTACAGACAGAATTGTGGTTCTACCAATTACTTAATTTTAGGATATGACCAAATAAGAAATGTCAATGTTAAAATGTTATTTCTAGCTAAATATTGCTTTGAAAGGCTAGTCTTGTAACTAACTAAAATAAACTGCAATTAAAAAATATTGTCTGAAACTTTCTTAATCCTCCAGATTATAAAATTAATCACAGCTCCCCCAATTGTATGCTGCCATTCTTTCATTATGAACTTTGCAACGTATTTCTTCAAACCAAGAAAGATTTGTTTCAACCAGTTAGTCAAATCAGCTTGGATGCTGTTTTTTAAATTAATTATAAATTATTTAAACCCTTTGAAGTAAAGGAAACCTAGCATCAATGGTTGTATTTATTATTTATTGTCCATTAAATACTTGCACGATAAAAATTCTAAGTTCTGTTTCTGCAAGATTAACCTGAACCTATGACTAAAATTCTGGATTTTAGAGACCTTAAAACCAAAGGTCTCTAAAATATATCACAAGTTTTGGAAAAATTAATGCTATATCTTTAGGCAATAATTTGCTGTAACTTAATGATCCTCTTGATTAACCATGTCCACTTCCAACTGTTTCACATAAACAACTATATAATAGGATGCCTTATTTTCTCAGAACAGAGTAATCACTTCCCTATTAAATTATCCTTCATTGGAAGAATATTCCTTTCAGGTTTGTTTATTTGAACCATTTGTATAGCTGTCCATTTCATAAGCAAACTTCTGGGCAACTCGCAACAACCATATAATTACAAAAAACAAACTAAAAAGCCAGCACCTCAATCATCCTCAAGAGATGCCCCAGCAACCATCCACAGACCCATGACTCTACTGAATGAAGAGCCAGTGTTTTATGGCTTACAGGAAGACTAAAAGGGTGGAGGCCTGTTGGATTACTGGGGAGGGAGCAGTTTTCTGTAAGATAGGGGCATGGTTCTTAAGTACCAATAGAGTCCAATATTTCATGGAAGAAACCTGGAACTGCCTCTTATCTGATCTAATGGGAAGGGCAGTTACAGTCCAGCAAATAACTTGGTCCCATGCCACTTAAGGCTTTAAAGATAATAATCAGCACCTTGAATTGCACTTGGAAGGAGACTGGAAGACAGTGCAACTTGCACAACAGAAGACTAATGCAAGCAAATGTAGGGGCTCAGTTGTGGCTTCTGGGTGGTTTTCAAAGGTAGTGCCATATAGAGCACATTGAAGTAAAAACAGAAATTGCAAAGATGCGTATCTGGTAGCAAAATATCATGAGTAAAGGCCTCTTGGTCCAGGAAAGTGTACAACTGGCATACAAAAGAAGGGTGTGTAAATGTCCCTCTAGGCAGGACTTCCACCTGTTCTTTGAGCAGAAGCCATAAGTCCATTGTGTACCAGTAAACTCCAGGGGAATGTAAGTCCATTGACAGTCAAAGATGACATATAACAAGACCCTGGGGGACCAAAAACCCAAAGTCACTCTGTCTTGTCAGAATCCAGTTGAAGTAGTTGAAGTTAGTTCCCGCCCATTTAACCATCACAGCATCCAAGCACTTGATCAGCACTATGATGTCAACTGCCCAGTGGTGGAAATGTATAACTAGGTATTATCAGTGTACTGATCATGCAGCATCTCTTGCCAGCGAATGATCTCACCCATCGGTTTCATGTAAATATTAATGAGAAGAGAAGAGAGGCTTGAGCCCTGAGGGTTCCTATATTGCAATGGCATTGGGCTTTACCTCTCCCCCACCTCTGCAAAACACCAAATGAAACCAGTCCACAGACAATGGTTTATTAAATGTGTAAGCTAAGACCAAGCAATCCATACAGGTAGTACTTGACTTACAACAGTTCATTTAGTGACCTTTCAAAGTTTCAATGGTACTGAAAAAAGTGACCGGTGACCATTTTTCACACTTATGATTGTAGCAGCATCCCCATGGTCAGGTGATTTACATTTGGATCCTTGACAACAGGTTGCAGTGTCTGGGATGATGTGATCACCTTTTGCAAACTTCTGACAAGCAAAGACAATGGGAAGCCAGATTCACTTAACAACCGTAATACTAACAACTTCAGTGATTCACTTAACAAACGTGGGAAGAAAAGTTGTAAAATGAGGCAAAACTCCCTTAACAAATGTCTCATTTAACAACATAAATTTTGCTCTCAATTGTGGGTCGTAGGTTGAGGACTACCTGTAGAGCTTTCCATGTTGCAATGTATGTGATTCCAGCTACACAGTAGCAGGTGCCAAGTACTATACTGAAATTTCCTTCGTCTTGAAATTATTGGTTATAATAATTGAAAAAAGTGTGTATGTGAAAAGCTAAAACAAAGAAACAAAACTAACTCCACTGCAATTCAATTATAACGTAATAGATTTACCACCACGAACTATATTCTAATTTGAAGCAATTTTGTGGATCCAGTCCACAAAAGTGTATACCACTAATCCTTCCATTCCCTACCATCCAGTCAGAGCTGAAGAAGCTTCTCCGATGAGAAGCGAAAACGTCTTCAAAGAAAAACCAGAAAGTCCTGTTGCCTCCTGAAAAAAGCACCTTTGGGACAACCATGACCTGGATGATTGAGAATCTCCATAGACATAGCATGCCTTCCATTGAGGACCTGTACAAGAGGGCCGTGAAAATATTTACAGACTCCTAGCATCCTGGACATAAATTGTTTCAACTCCTATCCTCAAAATGATGCTATAGAGCACTGCACACCTAGATACAAGAATAGTTTTTTCCCCAAACTCTGCTAAACAAATACCTCACCACTGTCAAACTCCTCACTAAGGCTGCATTACTCTTACTATTAGTCTTCTCATCGTTCCTATTACTCATCTCCTCCCACTTATGACTGCATGACTGTAACTTTGTTGCTTGTATCCTTATCATTTATATTGATATTGTTTCCTGGTTGCTTATTTGTACCCTATGACTATCATTAAGTGTTGTACCTTATGATTCGTGATGAATGTATCTTGTCTTTTTATGTACACTGAGAGCATTTGCACCAAAGACAAATTCTTTGTGCGTTCAATCACACTTGGCCAGTAAAGAATTCAATTCTATTCCTATTGCTTATCCCTATTCTATTTTATTTTATTCTATTCTGTTCCTATTCTATTCTACTAAGTTAGCACCTACTCATTTACTTAAAAGCCCTGTTGACATCACAGGGTCCTGAGTCAAACATTTGCAGCCAAATCTGGCCACACTCTTGTATGAGCTTACCTAGGAGGAAGTCCCAGAGAGAGAATTCAAGGAAGCTTACCCTGCTTTTGCCAGGAAACCTTTCCTTGCAGTTACACATTTCAGAATGTGGGGTGCTGCTGCTGTCCATCCCCCTTGGTCGGCCTAGTGGCTTCCAGATGGATGGGGGACCACAACAGTTAGCATCCCCGACCGGGGGGGGGGGGCTTTTCGGGGCGTTGCAGCCCCCACCTATTTGGAGACCACCTTATTGGGGAAGGGAGAAAAAGCAGGAGGGAGGATATACGGAGGCACCGTCTATAAAAGCGACGCCAAAGATGATTCAGGCCCCACAACGCCCCGCCCGAGGGGAAGCTTGCCCCCCGACTCACTCGAAGGCGAAGAAGAGGCCGCTGGTGACCACAATGAGGCCGACCGTGAGGAGAAAGACGCTGCTGTGCCGCGCCAGCATGAGGCGCCCGCCACAATAGAACCGGTTGCGCCCGGGGAAAACCTCCCACTTGCGACGGGGCCGCGGAGCCAGAGTCGTGGGGGCGGTGCTGGCGGCCACGGAGGTCGGGGGTCCAGAAGCGGCGGGGGCAGCCGGGGTGCCCGGCGGGATCTGCCGGTACTCGCAGTCTTTCATGGCGGTGATGGCGATGACAGCGGTGGCTGGCCTCCCCGCGTCCTCCGGACCCCCGCGGGCGGCGCTGCCAGAGCGCCGGGATGGCAGAGACCGGGCCTCTTTGCCTTTCTCTCTCGAGAGGAAGGGAGCTCGGGAGAACCAGCAGCCAGCAGTACACGCGCTCCCCACCCACCTCCCGGCGCAGCGCCCCCTCAAGCCGGCCGGGAGCCCGCACTGCAGGGCCGCGACCCTCACCGGGCCGCTCCCGCCAATTTCCTCTTAAGAGGGGGGGGGAGGATGCGCGCCACAGAGAACGCGCGCGCGCGCGCGCCGGCCAGACGTGCTGATAGGCAGCCTCCTGCTACTGCTTCTTCTTCTTCTTCTTCCCTGCCGCGTTAAGTTACTGCCTCGCCGACGCCGCCGAGATACAATCGGAACTCGTTTGCCGGGAGGACCAAACGGAGGACCCTCGGGCTTCCGGGTTTTCTAGCTCTGGTGTAGGAAAAGGGAAGGGAATGGGCGACAATATGCAGAAATATGATGCCTTTTATGAAGATGGGAGATTTTCCCCGACCCCCCCCTTTCAGTATTTTGAAGTTGTTTCCAGAATATAGAAAGAGGAGGCACCACATCTAATACATATCATTATTTCACGGCTTGTTTCATAGACCACAGGTCTCCAGCCTTGGCCACTTTGCGACTGGTGGACTTCAACTCCTAGAATTCCTCAGCCAGCGCATGCTGGCTGAGGGATTCTGGGAGTTGAAGTCCACCGGTTTCAAAGTTCCCAGGTTGGGGAGCCCTATTATAGACCACGGTATGCTGTACAGGTAGCTTTCATTTTACAACCATTTCTTTAGTGACTATTCAACTGTTGCAATGAAAAAAGTGACTTTTGACCATTTTTCACACTTGCAACTGTTGCAGCATTCCCCCAAAGTCACATGATCAAACTTCAGGTGCTTGGCAACTGGATTATGACAGGTGCATTGCCCTGAGGTCATGCGATCATCTTTTGCAGCCTCGACAAGTAGGAGGGCAGGAATTGAATTTAAGTGTACTCTTCCAATTCTATAGCATTTTTGTCTTTGACAAAAGCTGGAACGAGATATGCTGTTCTTGTGTATTTTATATGATGTTGCTGATATATAAAAGCAGCAACTGCAGTGATCATCCATAGACAAAGTCAAACTGTGGTTTCTTTTCATGTGTACTGAAATACTTAATTTACCCCATCTTTCTGTTGAAGAATATTCAAGGCTGTTTTGGTTAAACATTAAAGCAACAGAAGTAATAAAGAAATGATAATCACTAAACATAATAAACAGTGCTTCACAATTTGATTCTCCCATTTGTTGTTGTTGTTAGTTGAGAAGTCATGTCCGGCCCACCGTGAGCCCATGGGCAACATTCCTCCAGGCCTTCCTGTCCTCTACCATCCTCTGGAATCTATTTAAGCTCACGCCGACTGCTCCGATGACTCCATCCAGCCACCTCAGTCTCTGTCGTCCCCCTCTTCTTTTGCCTTTCATCGTTCCCAGCATTAGGCTCTTCTCCTGGGAGTCCTTCCTTCTCATTAGGTAACCAAAGCATTTGAGTCTCATCTTCAGGATCTGGCTTTCTAAAGAGCAGTCAGAGTTGATCTCCTCTAGGACTGACCAGTTTGATCACCTTGCAGTCCAATTCTCCCAGAGGCCATAAAACATTTAGCCTAGTGGATCAAATACTTGCTGGAAAGAAGAAATTGTCACTTCACAAAAACAAATCACTGAAAGGAATGAAGTCAGCCACTTTGGATATGGAGTTCCTTAGCAAAGGTATGCTATTCCCTATATTCCTATTAACCATATTTCAGATATTGGCAGGATGGAAAAGTGAACTTCTGTACTTAATCTTAGTGAGCAGGCTGCCTCAGACAGGAGACAGTCTCAAGTTCTTTGCAAATATAAAATTAGTGTGCAACTACCTAGAGGTGGTTCTGAAGGTGTCCTCAGGCGCCTGCAAAAGGTTCATGTGCTTCCTGACAAGATCTGCATTAGCATTAGCTACCGTTTCAGGCTGGCTCTGATGTATAAATAGCTTTCAAATGCAACCTCATGTACAACATCCTGAGCTCGATATTGATTTTAACTGCAGTGTGCATTAACATATCCAGATTATGTCTGCTCTATTTTAAAAAAAATGTGGCTTTCCCATCACAGTTTGCTCTGGTCAAAAGCACAGCTTATCAACCTCCCCAGGGCACTCAAGAGTAAAATGATGAAATTTAGAACTGTGACAGAAGAATGGTAGAAGGTTGGAACATACCAAATTGAGGGGGGGGGAGAGAAATCAGTGCTTGCAAGGCTGGGAACCAAAGAGAAGTTGATCTGGAAATTTATGCCTGAAAGCTTGTTAGCTACAAATCTGTTGACCTAAATTGATTCCTAAGAACCAATACAGCTAGACTGTCAGATCCCTAAAAGTGATACTGGCATTCAATTGGGAGGAGGGGGGCCTCGGAGTTAAATCACTAGCTGTACCTGTAACAACTGAGTTTTACAACTTTACAACTGGTTTCCTGTCACCGGAAACCTGAAGGTCCCAGCACCTCTGGAGGGATGTTTATGATGGCCATGTGGGATATCTTACTTTAATGTCTAACTAGAGATAGCCATGGGAATGTGTGTTTTATTCGACTCTCAGGGCAGAAGAGTTAAGGAAACATCTTCACACTTGTGTATTGGTCAGAATCTGCATTCGGGCAAAGGGGAGGGGTCATTATCAGTGTAATCCCACTTGCATTGCCTAAAGGGTTTCAGATGCTGCTTTGCCTCTAATGGTTTCCATCCTGATTGATTAAAGGTTCCCTTTGAAATAATCCGTTTCAAGAGTCTTTACTTTGTTAAGTTAGGAGAGGAGCCATTACATAGACCCAAAAAGAAAAAAAAATAACTTAAAGATTAAAATAAACACTACGGCTAATCTTCAATTTACAACTGCTCAATTTAGCAACTCTTTGAAGTTACAATGGTATTGAAAAAAGTAAATTTACAACCTCACACTTAGAATTATTGCAGCATCCCCAGAGTCACATGATCAAAATCCAGGCACTCGGCAACCAGCATGTATTTATGACAACTGCAGCATCCTGAGGGTCACCTGTTTGTCCCCTGTGACCTTCCCAGCTGGCTCCCTACAAACATAGTCAATGTGGGAAGTTGAATTTGCTTAACAACTGGTAAAAGTATTTAACCACCATGGCAAAAACAGATCATAAAATTGGGCACGACTCATTTAACAACAGCCTTGCTTAGCAACCAAAATTCTGGTCCCCAATTGTGATTGTAAATTGAGGATTACCTGTACCAAGCTCTAGCCTCCAGAGAGACGAAAGTCAATTTCTGATACAGTGTCAAGATATGAATTCAGATTTTTGCTACATATCAAATAACAGACGTATCACCACTGAAAAGGGAGATTGTAAGCGACTTGTGCAAAAGCCACATTTTGCAAAAGTACACTTTTTAGACGGTTAGGGTTTTATTTTAAAGCAGCCTTTAGTTATGGACCTCCAGCGGCCAGCAGAGGTGGCAGCAATTGGACAGTGAGGAGGTTGGGGAGGAGGATAAACCAGTCCTGGAGGCTGGGGAAGGCTTGGATGAAGGCTCTGCATTGGAGGCAGAGACAAGGCCGAGCCCATGTGGCAGTGATCAGGTGCCTCTGGAGCTAGACAGCAGTGAGGCAGAGGAACAGTTGGAGCCTATTCCTAGTGTACGCATGCACAGAGCTGCCAGAAGAAAAGAACAACTAACAAATCAGGGTCGACTTGGGAGTAAAGCCACAGGTGGACGGTGAATGACCCCTCCCATAGGAAATAAAAGGGAAGCGAAAGGGGAATGGGCTTTTGCAGGAAACAATTTGTTTGTCGTTAGATTCGTTTCAGGAGTGTGAAGATCTGTCCATGAATCTGAGAGACTCTGTGCCCAGTCTTTCTTTGCACACACCTCATTTGGAAAATATTTACATGGTAGCTTTCCAAGATAGGTAAGGTCTGTAGTCATAAATGTTCCTTTGAAAGACTGTTTGCCAGGCCTTTGCTAAATGTGAATGAGAGGAATTCACATTTGTTTAGTAAAAGGGCTTTTGCCGGGACCACAAATCTGCCTCGTGCTTTTTGGGGAAACCTAAGTCAGAACACCCTTGGTAGAAGGTTGCAGAATGGCTCTTGACAGAGAAGAAAATACAGAAAAGCACGGGAAGGTGTTGGGTTTTTTGAATGAAATAGATTATTTTGAGGAAGGATATTTTTGAATGTAGCATCACATGTAAATGTCCAATAAATACCAAAAAAATGTGAGTATTTTACCAGGTATTACATTTTTGCTATTCTCACTGGTTGAGTTTACTACCACATTCAGATAAATCAATTCTGCGCCTTCAATTGTTAACAGTAAACGTTTACTGTTAACAATTGAAGGCGCAGAATTGATTTATCTGAATGTG